ATGTAACCATTTCATGTATTTTTTGTGAATTTGCAAATTGTTATACTAATTTTACGTATAACTAATATTGTGAAATTAATAAATGATTATTTTTTAGAATTTTTATGGATTTATAAATTGAAGTCACTACCCAGTACTTTTAAATATCAATAGAATTAATCGATGTCTTTATCTCAGTCCCTATGTATGATAAAATCTTTAAACTACGCAAAGGATTTTATTTATTTATTTATTTAATATCTTTATGCACAAAACAAATGTACAAAGGTGGGCTTAATGCCATGGGCATTCTCTGACAGCCAAACCTTTGGATGATGCAGAGATAACTATAAAGGTGCACAAAACAAGCATCATCAGAGACGTTATAAATACATATTATATACTGTAAATATACATACATATGCTTATATATATATACATACATACTATATAATTACATATACTACTTAAAATTATACATATTTTGCTATTTGATGTCATGATGAGGATTTTGATGATTTTTTTGTAATAGATAGTGATGGAAGATATATAGGAAGTTTATACGTTAGTGGATAAATTTATTATAAGCGCTGCACCCGTGCGAAACCGGGGCAGATCGTTAGTTCAAAATAAAAGAAAGAAAGTGTGAAATAACGAAACGTAAAAAGAAGACAGTTCAAATTGAAAAGACACGAAACTACTCTTGTACTGTCCAACTATGGCCTCATTTCCAATCACTTCATTCATATTAGTATTTAACTCATTCATTTGTTCAGTAAAGTAATTATATTCAATTAAATGGTCGATTTACGTTCGCGTTTGACTGGCAATTATTGCATTTCCGACATCGCCTTTAAACATTTTTAACTATTACCCACTTACTGTATTAAACTACAATCAAATCGATTTAAAACTACTGCACAGCAAAATGGACTTACAACTTCAAGAAACAGAGTACAAATTTGCATAGCTAAACAAAAAGTCTTTATACATGCAAATCGATATTAGATAATAATGTACTAGTTATAAGGATTATTTTCGTGTGGCAAATAATACCGGTCTTTATAAGGTCAAGTGCGACATTTCATTGATACTTCCTGAAGTACCGGTTACCCGGTTTCGGTAACGGAGAGTGGTACGGAAATGACTGTAGCTTGTGTTATCTATTCTACTTGTAAACCTTTCACAATGTGTAATTAAAATGGCAGCCATGTTGGCACAATCATTTAAGTAGATACTAGTTTCTGCTAACGGCTTTGAAAGTAGTAGTAGTAGATATTATTCCAAACTTAATTTTTGAATAGTAAGTTATCCTTAATTTAATGAAAATAAAAATAATTAAGAATATGTATATACGAAAAAAATAATGAATATGGAAAATAAAATGTAGTCAGCTGAGCGTCAGACGCGACGAGCATGCTGCTCATGATAAAGAGTCCCGATGTGACTTGAAACTAGTAGAGCTATATTTGCAGTTAATTCAATCTATCTACACATATAAGTTGTATAGTTATACAAAGTATTGAACAACTCCATACTTAAGAGTTCTCACGTAAAGGGATACATGAATGTATTTTAATTATTAGATCTCACATTCAAAGGATAATTTTGTAATGATCACCTATGTATCAACATATAATCTTTATATTCATACCTCAACATTTCCTAATACATAATAATTATATTCTATGTACAATCGGTCAGTCAGATCAACGTTTACCAATCCGTCAATTTACATTATTGGATTTTCGACTTAATATTAAAAAACTTAAAGTTGAAAATCTAATAAAGATAAAGGTTGATAAGCTCGTTGTTGTGCTAGGAGCAATAAATAAAACAGTTTTGAAGCCTAATTTGTTATGATTTGCTATGCTTAGTCCTAAGAGAGGTAATAACAGATGAAGGTTGTACGTGACGAGGTCGAATATCTTGTACAATCAGTTGATTTGATTTTAGTAATAGCTTAGTGTAATTGAAATAATGTATTTTTTGTGAAAGAAAATCATCAGCTGACTTCTCCCGCCCAAGGTCGAGCGGGAGGGAGTGTCAGACTCTTACTGACTAAAAACTCCCCTGTTCCTTCTCCCGCTACGGGCCCTAGGCCGCGGTGCGTCATTGCGCTTGCCCTGTAACCCCGGCTGAATATCAGCCCTATAGGGCCCCGTCGGTGGTGGTCTATTGGCTCTTTGAGGAACCCTACGCGCCGTAGGTACGCTCGGGTTTGGTTCATCGAAATTAAAAACACTTACGTTTTGTTTTGCCGTGTGAGCAATGTTACCGGAGGCCTAATCCCCACCCCTTCCCCTCCAATACTGAATTCCCAACCTCTAAAAACCCACAAAAGGTCCGCACTACACTTGTACATCACTTTGGTATTACCGATTGTCTATGGGCGGCGCCGATTGCATACCATCAGGTAAGCAATTGTACCGTCTGCTATGCTAACTAACCTATCCCAAAATAAAAGCAAATTGGATTGCTACTTAATTCACGTCCACTCCAACGAAAACCACAAAACGTTGCACACATTTGCGTGTAAACAACGATTTTATTGTAAACGTATAATTATAACCGACAGAAGATTACTGTAGTTACGCACTTTAACTGTCACGGAAGGTGGTAACGTTCTTACTTTAACTGATAGTTAATTAGAAATTACTCGACTTTACTAATCTGGTTCCTTAGTTCCTAGTTTTAATTTAAGTAAGTGAGTCAAGTAACACACAATTTAGTATAATTTTATTAGAAGTAACGTGTAAGTTTATAGGAACAGATCTTTCGGAAGAGAAAGAAGGATGGAGCTATACGCCTTTTATAACTCCATCCCTCTTTCTCATCCGGAAGATTCACGCTTTAACACGTCATGGTAGGCCCTCTGACCATAGTTTGAGAAGAAACAATATCTTGTCTGGACGAGTTTATGGGTTTAAAACCCCGAAAGTACCAATGTGACTTTTTCCGAGATTTGAATGTTTTTTTTTGTAATAATTTAGACACCGCTGACATACGGTGAGGAAAACTTAACTTAAGTTTCAAATCGCCTATCCAACTTGAAGAAAAGTAATTAATGGTCATACCTCCTCCTTGTAAGAAGGGGTCTTTGCTCTACAATGGACATTTAAAAAGACTCGTATAAAGACGAGCAATTAATAATTGTAAGTCACAATATTGTTTTGAGTTTCTTGGTGATGTTTTTGCCCACATTCTTGACTATATGGATAGATAAATAATACACTGAGATTCTTGTAAAGTGGGTAATTCTATTGCCTATTTGGTACATTTATGCCAGTATTCAGATTACCCATTAACTTAAAAATACCGAAAGCTAGCATAAGTTCCTCTGGTAGTCGGAATACCGAGGCTATACCGAGAAATATCCAACAGACTATAAGCATACTGACATGTTAAACTAACCATTTTGCCTAGACTTCAGATTAACAATAAATATTTTTTTAACAGAAGGTCACTTCTCTGCCTTCGCCATAAGATCATAATCGTGATAACAGCACTAAAAGCATTTCATAGTTCCACATATGCCCTGGAGATATACCAGATGGTTCCCAAGTCATGACCCTTAGCATTTCCGAACGTATCGAACGAACGATACGTTTCGAAGGCCGACCGGTGCGCGGGCGCAGCGAAATGTCAGTGATAGGGTTGTCACGTTATTAAATGTGAATATTAGTTACGAAGAACCTAAATTGCTATAATATGAAGATGGGTATTTGATGTCAATTGATATTATTTATGTGATCGGACGGCAAACGAGACGGACGGATAACCTGATGGTAAGCAATCAGCGCTGCACATGGTCGCCTACACCAAGGGAAGACCTTCGCGTGCGTTGCCGACATTTTGGGGTTTTGAGAATCTAGGGATTGGGAAACGGGAAGGACTTGGGCCACCGGTAACCTCACTCACTCGGCGAAACTAGGTTTTCTGTGAGGCCGTGGTATCACTCCGGTCGAGGCGACCAATTCGAGCCTAAACATATCTCTCCCACACTATTTTGTGCTATTAAATGCATTCAGGGTATATTTTCTAGGTTTAACCCATAGTCGCCTTGTCCTCGTCGATCTTAATATTGATCTAATTTCTGTTCTACTGCACTGGGCAAAACCCCAACACTTAACGAGTAATTTCTGGGTTCGATGTCCTTATGAGAAAATATATTAATAGATTTATCAATTCAGGTCATTTATTATTGAATTAGTATCCTTTATATAGTGGTAGTTTAAGAGATTATTGTTTGACACAAGCTTCATAGGAAGATAATCAAACTCGAAATCATTTATTCAACTAAACCATATACAGGTAGTTTTAAAACGTCAAAATAGAATAATAGACTGTCAGTCTGTTCGTTAATGAAGCTTGTAGATAATAGAGAAGAACGAGCAAGAAAGTCTCATCTTTTTTAGAAGATTTTAATTAGTATGTGGTAAGCATTTTTCCGCTGCAAAACATATTGTTTACATTATTATTTCTATTAGTTTCCACTAATTATTTATTTACTAACTGACGGCGTTGCGTTTGAACGTTCTCAGGTCAGAGATTAACCAATTAACATTAATCTAATACGTCAATGGAAATGTCAGTATGTCTGCAAATAGCTGCATGCAATTATATATTACGGTGTCGATATTTACAGTCGGAAATTAATAGAAATTACAACATACTATATTCGTTTAATATTAAAAGTAGATCATTTTATGAGATTAGGAGAGATTTTACAAGGCTATATAAAATTATGTTTTTTTGTTATAAATTTCGTGAGGCATATTCATTCAATAATTATGTTTTACTGCTTACTCAGTTAGCTTTGCGACGTTCGCCGTCTCTGAATGAATATGAGTCCCTATCGTGGCTTGAATATAGTCGAGTTCTTCATCAAACAGTTACGTGAATCACCCGGTAAACTTAATATTAAATCACATATTCAATTAAAATCACACTATATCTTAAAAAAATAATTACATCCTTGTTTATGTAAATAATTTTATTCTTACAAAATGTTTATAAAGTTAATATGCTAGTTTACTAGTTAAGGTGTCAGCCCTATACGAGTCCGGGCGACAGGTGCACAAAAATAACAGATGCGGCTGCACATTTTGTTCCGACCGAGATTGGCCGTGGCAGCACTGTACAGGCCTACCTGAGTACCTTCCATGAATGGGTTCGGGATTCTGGTATAAGGAAAAAGGGAACCTGTTCTTTAGTTTCGCAAAGTTTAATAATAACTTCGAATGTGTTGCTAAGTGCAAAAAGTCTTAATTGTTTGAATATGGGTAACTAACAACCTATATACGGTATGATAAGGTAGATATCTGACATTGAAAAATTATGTTAACCGCGAACCCACCATAAACCTTAAAAGTGTTATAGAAACGTCATAGTGAAGCTATTGCCTACAGCAAATTGGGCAATAATTTTTCTACGAATAAGAGACCCGAAACTGAACAACAATCGAAATACAAAATTCGGAAGAAAAGACCAAATTTTTGACAAAACAGTCCTTTGGAGCGCAAACAAAGAGCCAACAATTACTAGGAAATATTAACCCTATTGTAATGCAAAATAGTTCCATATTGATTAGCCTATTATTTTCCCACGGAACCTACTAGAAATAACTAGGTGTGGTATTCAAATGATCTGAGATCGATCGAGTAGAAATCCGTCACGATTGAGAACGAATACACGTTATTTAATCTGTCGCCAGACATAAATAAAGACTCATTTAGTGTTGGAAACAGTTTTGATAACTAGATAAAAACTAAGTGTGGGAGAGCCATGCTTCGGCACGAAGGGGTCGGCGCTCGACCGGAATGATACCACGGCCTCACTGAAAACCGGCGTGAAACAACTACAGCGTTGTGTTTCGCCGTGTGGGTAATGTTACCGGAGGCCCAATCCTTCCCCACCAAACCCTCCTCAATCCCTAAATCTCCAAATCCCTAATCCCTAGAAGTCGTCGCGGGTGTCCATGGGCGGCGCTGATTACTTACCATCAGGTAATACGTCTGCTCGTTAGCCGATTTATTGCATAAAAAAAATACACGCATTACTTATGAACTTTTTTTAAAGGGCAATCTTTTCCTTTCGTCCTTTGGTTTGAAGTCCAGATTAGTGTATAGTCTAGTCTTTTTGGCTGTCGCCCAGAATGGGGCGAGAAAGAGTCTTTTACTGACTTTAAAGCACTCCAAACCACGAGCAGGACTGTAGTTTGTCTGCACATGACCCTTGGTTTCAGTTACAGGGTGAAGAAACAATTTTAATTTATCATTTTGTGGACTAACGTTATAAATTTTTTGTTTAATTTTTCTCTACTCCATTTCAGAACAAGTACTTAGCTTCAGTGAGGAACCGACTAATGAATACTGCTATATTGTTGTTATAGGAAAATAACTTTTAGAAGACGAAAATAAGTTCAATAGCATCACGTCCTTTTTGATACATAAAACAATTAGGCTTTAAAGTCTTAATTACAACGATACACGAGTTCTCAAAGGTCGATTATTAGATAATGTTATGACTATTACGACCAAGTTAACTGTCGCTTTTATTAACTAATATCACCTTGATACACAGTATCAGTGCAGTGTAATCACTGATAATGAGACTGGCTACATGTTACATGCCCTTGATCAGTGAAAGGACCGTTTTGATACTGTGACCTCTTCTTACAATCTGCCGTTTTAATTTTATGAATATATCGACTTACGTGAATTGACTGTAACTTTAGGTAATCTACACTGGATGGGTTGCGCGACGTCGCCGCGACGCGCACGCTGCTCATGAATAAGAGTCAGTCAGACAAAAAATTTTTATGTCATACAGATGTCAGACAAAAAAATAATCATATCATTAACGAATTTTGCATAATCTATAGACACGTATTTATTTTTCTATCCTAAGTATATTAACATACAATTACTATAATAAATCACAATAAATTTAAAACATGCAATGAATTATTGCTTCTGCGTAAATGTGTGATAGTTAATATGCTAGCTATATGAATTTAATTATTCATCATCATCATCATCATCATCGTCGTCATCGTCAGCGCGTTTCCGTCCACTTCGAATCCATCCACTGGTAGCCATTTTACCTAACTAGATATCGCCTTGTAGGTTCTAAGTACCTAGGTATTCATTTAAGAACGTTCAATCACCACGGGTTTTAATACATTTCAAGACCAATATATTGGAAACTACTAAACAGATTTTGATGAACCTTGGTACTCTTACGTGTTACATTAAGGTATATAAATACTTAATTACGTTAGTATCTACATATTCGAAATATCATTGAAGTTAGCCGTTGTACGCGAATTTAAATTTATAACTTACGAATTTATTTTATTTGATAGGAGGCTAACGAGCATTGGGATCACCCAATACTAAATAATCAGCGCTGCCCATGGATGTGTTATACTTCTGTCTTTATTAACTGCACCGTGGAAAGACTTTAAAATTATTACAATTAAACAAACAAATAAAATAATCCCCACAAATCGTGGGAAACATATGAAAGAGAACACTAATTTCGATTAATCGCAAACATCCTCGATTCTGAACTCGATGCGATGATACGACGATTATGAGCGATTTAATCGGTATCAATCGATTCCTGTATCGAGAACCGGAGTGTTATTTTTGCAATATAATTATGGCTGGTTACACGATGTCCGACACACTTGTAGTCGAGTTTGTGCACATAATATTATAGGAAAACCGGGCTGATCAAACTAGTCAACATGAAGTACTTATAAGACCGGCAACAGCGCTTCTATCTACCACACTTTCATTATTCGATTTTTGACTTTAAGACGTAAGAATTAATTAGGTAATCTTTGTTGATTTGGGATAGCTTGATGCATTGCTTTTTAAATCATCCTTAGAAAATAACACGTGGGGTTTTACAAGATCTAGATCACATTATTATAGTAAAATTTAAATATCAATGCAAGCTGATTTAGTTGTTTGATGGAATATTTTCCTTAGGAAATAGGTATCATTATTTAATTTAATTAAAATAATATACATTTGAGGTATTTCGTATGCTATCCGTAAATCCACTTTTAGTTTGTCTCAAGTATCAACAGTGTTGGAAATAATAAAAATTTTGATGTTATCCTTACAAAATATGGATACCTTACTGAGATAGGTTATTAATGGAAAATAAGAAAACTATCAGTACTTAACTTAAACAAAGTTTGGTTGTATCAAAATGGATAGTGGGTAAGAAACGAAAATAAAGTTTATGATCTTGACAATAAGACTGAAACTTCAAAATGACAATTTTGCTATGCCTACTTATTTAAAAAAAATTGATTTTGTTTACGTTTACTAACATATAACCTCTTTCTTAGACACGAAACAATTGTTTAACACTTTCGTAAGTATCGATTACAGTACGGCCGACGTATCTTGGCGAGTCTGAAGTTAGCCGATTAGCTGCGCAGTAGACAATTTTGTTCCTAAAAGATCCATTGCGCAGACAAACGGCTAACTTCAGACTCGCCAAGACACGTCGCGTCGGCCGCACTGTATTGATCAACATTTCAATAATAATAATTTATAATTTAAAAAACATCAAACATACGTTTTTATTACTTGTATAGTGTTTTGTTTCCTAGTTTATGAATTTAAACGATATTTGTCAATAAACATGATTAAAAAAAAACACAATTACGTTTGTGTACCTATCTGTCAACAATTGTTGTTCTAGTAATCACGGCACAGGTGAAAATCTTAGTGGGACAACCTGATCGTATTAGTCTTAATACACCTAGCAGATTTGCTCAATTTACAAAATCATACCTGTTAAAACCATCCAGGTTATCAAAGTGAAATACGATCCGGCCTAACGTGGATGACCAAATTATGAAACTTATACAATTTAGTTAAAAATTTGGTCAATAATTCGTTGCAAACATAATTTTGATGAACTGCTGCTACGTAGAGATGTGACCACGACCTATACTGGTCTAGTAGTATAGCCGAAAACAGATTCTGGATTAAAATGAGATTTGCCAGGTTTAAGAAAAAGTCATCAAATGAAGTGTCCGACTCTAACTGACTAAATACGACCCCGTCCCTTCTCTTTTCCAAAATTCAAAATCGAAATAAATGTGTAAGACCAATATAAATATAGAATATTGTGTCAAACCTCAAAACAACAAAAGCTAATCCGTTATTTACCTATCCACACCAAGAGCAACCAAAATACCAACTTTACAAAAAAGTGACTAAAAACACTTTAGGCAGTAGCCAACTTTTTGCCAGTATAATCTATGTACATAGCTTTTGGATTAGCAAGTTCAATGAACTTCTGAAAACTCTCAAAGAGAATTGCGATTACACTTATTACGTAAATTATTTGCTTTCTACTTTACATACATGACCTTACCATTCTAGTTATGTATATGCATTACTGTTTACTAGAATCCAATACATAAAAAACGTAATCAAGCATGAATAACTACAAAAAACGTGCGTAAATTGGTATGAAGGTATGATAATTATTGTGTTGGATGCATAACTAGTTTTACGTGAGGTTTTGTTTCTAATTTTACAATGGGGGGCAAATCTGTAATGTGAGCTGCAGAATTATAAGTATGGGAGAGCCATGCTTCCGCACGAATGGGCTGCCTCGACCGCAGTTATACCACGGCCTCACAGAAAACCGACGCGCGTGAAGCAACACTTACGCTGTGTTCCATCGTGTGAGTTTACCGGAGGCATAATCCTCCCCCCATTCTCTATCCTCTTTCCTATCCGTACACCCAAATCCAAAAAAGGCTGGCAACGCGCTTGAAGAAGAGTTTCCATGGGCGGCGCTGATTGCTTACCATCAGGTAATCCGTCTGCTCGTTTACCGACCTATGATATAACAAAAAGACTACACATCTACTTCTTGGTATAGACCACGTTTTTCTTAGAGAAAATAATGAGCTTTAACTAAATATTAATCACTCGAGTTTACAGATTGGTCATTATAAACTACATATCTACGGTTTCAAATGTGTTGAAGAAGAGTTAGGTATTTGTTAAAACATAGCTAATAAAAGTAAGTAAAATATATGTCCTTTTTACACTTAAGACAGACAACATTTTTACATAAGTGCTGAGAATTTGAGTGCATTGCGAAACATTTCCGTTGACACCTGACGCGTTCAAGTGTCGCAATCGGAATTTCACTTGCTCATTCGTTTTCAAGGCTATTTATTATATCGAGTCTTTTTATCTTTAAAACAGTCTACCTACCTAGTAACTAAAATTGACCGTTCAGAACCTAGATACAGTTAATTCCAAATAGAAGTCTTTCAAATTTTCCGTCATAATTCAATTTTAACGAACAAACTAATAAAAAGATACTCCTTACTGTTATTCAAATGGAAAAAAAAAAGAAAATAAAATTTAAAACAAATACTGAATTATTCCATTGAATAGTGCGTAACAAGAGAACGGATAACGGATTATTTAAATAAAATATAAAAAATAACTAGTTATCCACGGCGAATAACGACAGTGAAAGTTATTCGTAACGCATCGCTGCCTTCTATTTACCTTCGGTTAAACGTTATTTTAAAATTAAATATTGGCTTATTTGCTCTGCCATTGCTAATCAATTGGTGATTGACAAATTTGCTGGCGTAAGTCGCCATTTAATAAGAGAATGTGATAACGTTATTTTTATAGAAATCAACCGTTTTTAGGGAGATTTTTTTCGTAATTTAAATAAACGTGTAATGTGTTATTATTCGGCGTAAATTAATTGAGTGAAACCAGTTCCTTAGGCAGCAGTTTTTTGTTGTTGCAGATATCGCTATTTAAGCGATAAATCATTTCTGAACGTGAATATATTTTTAATGTTAAACACTTTCAAATTGAACAAAAACATTAATGAAATCTCAATAGATTTTTACACATTGTAATGAAATTGCTTTTGCTTATACCTAGTTGCTTGAATATCATGATTAAGACCAACATTTTTTCTATTATAATGATGACATAATAATTATATGACTAAAGGTAGGCAAATAGGACGAGGTTGATTAATTAATAGGAAAATTCTGAGAATCATATTTCATTACTCGATAAACGTTAAGAAACTGGCCTCAAGTCTTTATTCAAGATTATATTAGCTACTGGACACTGTTTATACCAAGAGTCTATAAAAATGGCATCGTTGTGTTTACAACAGTTGAGTAGTTCTTATCACAAACAAGTGACTTACAAAGAACGAGCTAAATACATAATTAAGATAGTCGATTACCAGTCAGACTGTGAACTAAATGACTCATGTCTATTGATATTGTTAAGTCAGATTATAAAACTGATTCTATACTTCAAAGAAAGTTATCTCTAAATATTAAGGTAGATTAAACACGATATGTATAACAATACCTATGATAAATCTGATTTTGAGTAGCCAGAAGTTTTAAGCGTGTCTTTGTCAAAACCTTTTCACGGCCCTTATTAACACTACTTGCACGTAAGGGAATATTTAGGAATTAAATGGTTGTAGTGTTTTGCATACATACTCAAATTGACCTCGCTTGTTATAATATGACCGAGATTACGAGAAAGAATGGACTATAAAAATCTTGCACGTAATACTAACAGTAATGCACGAACGAGACTTAAAAGCAATAGAGTAAAAAATAACACGTGGGGCTGACCAAACATTCTAGTTTGATATAAAAAACGACTTACAGCTTTAGAATATCCGCTCCCGGCGCTTCCATCGGACGAGTTGCTCAATCTTCTCTCACTGTTGGATGCTGGCGGCGACCACGCCGAACCACTGTCTGACGGCATCTTGACAACCACAACTGTCTCACATCATAGCTATCAACCACTATTAACTCGTTATTAACCGTTATTCACAACACTAGCACATCACTATCGGTGTTCCGCGGTCCATTTTACTTGTCCCGTTTACCTGCGGAAGAAAAAATATCGTTGAGATTTTACGATACAATGTTGTAATCCACTATCTTTTGTAGATAGCAAAGAATATGCTAGACGGGACACGAAATCGAACAAGCGATAACTAAAACATTTGTTAGATCTTACAATAGATAAGTTTACTAAAATGGTATCACGAAAAACTTGTATTAATACAGTACTTGAGAAAAACTCACACAATAACTGGTAGTATACAACGAGAAACGTATAACTATAACAGTAGTAAGTTTACAATCGCTCGGTTATTTCGGAAATAACCGTTATTGGAAACAGACGTCCGATCGGTGGCGCGCGCGGCGGAGTACTGGCGCGCCGAGCCTCGCGCGCGGTTGCGCGACACAACACAGATAAATTATATTATTTCTTAATCTATGACCACTTGTTATTATAAAACTATTTTATTTGCACAATGTTTTGTTACATTATTAGTTTTAACGCGTGAATGCATTAGTTCAATTAAAACGTACATTGTCTTATTGTAGGTATTCTTTATATAACAATGCGGGTATTACAAAATCTCAGTGTCATTGACCAATATTTTGCTTGTTTCTGTATTTGGGTTTTGATGTTAGACGCAGAATTTTAACCATTTTTCTTGTTAAATCTAAAGAATGCAATTGTTGTACGAAAAATGTCACTATTATCAATGAAGTGTTGTTTGCGTCGTAAAACCGTTTATTTTTTACGTCCCATCACACGAAACTTTCTATGCACAAAAAATAATTTGACACGAAATGCCGAAGAAACTTGAACTACATTTAAATAATGTCCGTACAATATGGCCTGAATTCCTGGTATATCTGATCGGTACCTATTTGTTGACACGCGATCAATTACCCATTCAAATGACACGGTGCACACATGACGCGATCTATCGCTGCGCGGACGCAGCAAAATGGGAGGCATTGTACGTACTTGATCACCACACTTTTGGGGTTACGCCGGAATAATCCTGTATTTTATCTCTAGTATTTTTGCAGAAAACATCATAATCAGAATTGTTCTACTTGCCAATATTGGCCAATAAAAAATATTATACATTTTATATCTAATTGATTAAAATTCAGATTACACCATCCGAATAATTATGGAAGATGGTGCGAATATGAATAAATTAATACCAATTTTAGCAAGCATTTAGTGTTGCATAGTTCTACATTTAATACTAGACATTCGAAATGTTAAGGATATAATATTATAGTGTTTAAATGCCAAGGTATTAGTGCAAAAACGTCGATGAGCGCATAAAATATATCGATTTAAGAGGTAGAAAAAAAGTGGAGATTTTCGATGCAGTAATAAAACGCCTACGGGCATTTTAGGCGTCTATCTTAGTTCATTATCGGAAAGGAAAATCGCATCAAAAGCGTTCGAGGAATTCGCGAGGTTATGCTCCAAGACAAACATGTATTGTATTTTTTGTGGTAATTACAGATATAAGTGAATTAGTCGCTTATGCTTCCTGCATTCTACAAAAACTAGTTTTTACACAGATGCTGTAAGAAATACATTATTGTATTGAACAATAGTCAAATAAATAATTCGTGATTTAGCATTGTATGCATTTTTATACCATTAGCTAAGTCTCCTGATTAATGATTGAGCTCCGGTAAGTAATTATATTTAATGGATTTGATTGTCCTATGCATTATTACCGTGTTTTTAGGTATTGTCAATGTTTCTAGAATTATCTTAAGGATACTAAAATTTAATAAAACATTTTAATACATTTAAGACTTTATTTGCCTTAAGTAAATTGTCGGAAAAGCAGGTTAGAGAACTAATTCCATTTTATGGGCTTATCTAAATTTGGTTAAGACAATCATTATTAATTTCCCAAAATGGCGAAGTCAGGTTGTTTGAAAGGACATTTTCGTTACGTCATCGCGGTGGCATCTCAGTGGATGGTGATTCACGATATGTGGCTAGATTCCACGATGACCTTCACCTTTGGAGGTGGTCGTACCACCGATGTACTGACGGAACTGGTCATATTGACACGTCTCGTGATTGTTTTTGTTACTCGTTGCCGTTTATTTGTAAATGGATTGGAGCTGTCAGTTTGTTTGTATTGCAAATAGTTTCTGAGCTAATATATGAGTCGTGTTATTTTTGTTATAGGATTGGGTGTAGGTTGTTGTGTTGTGGTACGTTTCGGCCTTGATTTCTTTTAAACTCGTTCGAGTGCATTATTGAACACAGGTGTCACATACAGTATTGTCACTTGACTTAATAACGTGTATAATTCTTTTAATAATTCTAAAAAAAGGAAGATATAACATTTAATTTTTTATAAGTTAGGTAAGTAATATCCTAACCTCTTGAAACCACATAGTCACCCTACCAATGGGACACTTTCTACGCTTACACACCGTGCGGAGATAACGGCGAAATTGTCTCGCTGAACACAATACGCGGACACACCTCTATAACTTCCTGCATAAGGTTCAAGTTCGCACCCAAAGGGCACGTTTGGGTCATTGTATAGACAAAGGGCTAACAAGAGAAATCGACTGGCCTGGCCTTATTCGTAGATTTATGTAATAGACTTTATTAGTACGGAGTTATGGGACCGGGTTGTCTTATGAAATATTCCAGTGTTTGTTGGTCAGGCCTAGCCGTCTGGGTACAGTCGACAACATTGTTTCGTGGTCAACAAGCTAAGAATTATCGTTTTATTGATACCCTATCGATTTAAACTGATTTTATGACTATAAACATCATATTTACTTATTTACTAAAAGTAAAGGGTGGCGAATCTGACGGAAGGTAAGCAATCAACGTCCCCCACAGACAACTGCAACCCATAGAAGTTCCAACTATGGTTCCAATGGTATTGCTGCTGGCCTTTTCAGAGAGATTTGGGTCAATCTAACTTACACGGCGAAACATATCGCTTTTTTCAAATAGGGTAATCACCAAATGCCTCCTTCTCCCGCCTAGAGTTATACAAGGAGTGTCATAGTGTTACTGGCTAAAAACCATCTCATTCGTTCTTCTGCTCCATACGTTTATTTTGGTCTTGTTGTGGTTATTTCACGTCGATATATTTAAGGCCGTCGTATTACTCTGTTTGTGCCCATTCCTACCAAAAACGACTGTTCAATTACCCACGGTTTTTCATTTATCTCGCACAATTTCCGTAAGCGAAAGCCATTAAGTTATAACTTTATAGGCGTAAACAAACTTGAACTTATCCTCTCGGAGTGGTGTGAAGTGTAATTAACAGTTAATCAAGTACCACATTAAGTTATTAGCTCATAAACAGGTATTAAGTCGAGCTTTCTTTAATAACTTTCATTTATCCTTGCACATTTTACGCATGTCGTCGCTCTAAACGGCTACAAATGAAATTTATTATTGTACAGGAGTTAATAATATAAATTGCAATAATGCACTTCGGTAGCATTGTTGATAACAATAAATAATTATTCGCAGTACTTAATAATTGAAATACCTTATTGGTCAAGGGTCTCGGGTTTGACTACCGAGTGGGTCAAAGAATTCTCAGAGCGTTTGCGTCTTTTTTTCTGCTCGGCTCCTACAGATCGTAGCGTGATGTTTTAGTCTATAGTCTGCCTCGATAAATGGATTAAAAAACACAAAAGGAATATTATTCAATTTAAACCAGTAAGTTCCGGAGATAAGGGCGTTTACACAAACAAACTCCACAGCTTTATAATATTAAATATAGTATAGATTATAATAGCACGGAATTTGGAACTGCGCCTGGTATATTATACGGTAATCCTATTACTTAATAATCATAACATTGCTAAAACCTTATAACACTGCGGGAAATAAAAACAATTGACTAACGGTCTGTGTATATTAACGCAGAAACTAATGACCAGATTTGGATGAAATTCATAGAGCTTATAGAGACAATACTTTTATGATTAAAATAGCAGTTTTTAAATTTATCTAGTAAATAGCAGGGTATAATACAATACACTTTTATGTAGAACATATCACGTGTATCAATGATTTCTTCATAGAACGAAAAGAAGAATATCAGCTGTTTATCCTTTACTTTAATCGTGTTATCAGTAAGCGATTAGATCATAGGCTATCTAAAGAGGATAGATAACAAGTTAAGATATTGATACCACTTCTAAGATGGGACACGTTATTTTTAGTTTTTTACGTGCTAGAATTTTCTCTTATTTTATGAAGTTTATGGTTTTAAATTCGTGGCTTGGAGGTTAAGGCGCCCGCTTCTCATGCATGGGGATGGGGATGCGGGTTCGAAACCTGGAAATGTACTTTTTCTGTATGTGTTTTTAATGATTATGATACCACTGATATACACACGGTGAAGAAAAACATCGTGAGAAAACCTGAATTTATTTTTTTATTAATGCTCCAACATTAACTTTTAGGGCGATTTTTGTCTATGTTTGACTGTGGCAAACGAGCTGATGGTTTACCTGAGAAGCGATCGGCACTTCCCATCGACATAGACCCCAGCAACACCATAAGCGTCCTTTTGGGGATAAGGAGATTTGTCGACATTTGATTACTTTGAGATTTTTCTTTTACTATCGTTTTTATTAGTTTCTATGCAAATTGAATATGATTTTGTTCTTCCGAACTGTTTATTCGATTTTTAAATGAAAACAAACACGTTCGGCCTCTGTGTTCGGCGCAGTCAACGATATACAAATTATGGACGCCCTGACAAAAGCCATAGGAGTTGTTCCTTCCGGGAACTGAATACGTAGTAGTACTGGGTAGGTAAGTATATATACTTAGGAATTAGGTAGCCATTTTATCCATATTTCCCCCAGTACCCGGATAAAAACCAGTCTGACTATTATTCCAAACTATGATCTATCCCTATACTAAATTGCATTGCGATTCGTTCAGGAGTTTTTGTGTGAGTAACTAGTATCTCACAAACTACGAAGCAAATACTTAAATATCAATATAAATAAAATTAATCACTAAAATGTTAATAAAATATTCGCAGCTTTTTTATGTGATAGGATCAATCGAGCAGACGGATTACGTGATGGAAAGCAAAACAACAGAAGAGTTACGAGTACGTTGTCGACTTTTTGGGGATTAGGGTTTTGTTGATTGGGGGATGGGAAGGATTGCATTTGGACAGAACGTTGTGTTTGTTTTACGCCGGTTTTCTGTGTGGCCGTGGTATCACTCCGGACGAACTCATTCGTGCCGAAGCATGGCTCTCTCACACTTCAATTGTTTGTGATAACATACATTGGCAATGTCCTGTAAACACTACGAACAGCATCAGTATGTCGGCAACGCATTAATGACTAAGAGAATTAATTTAATAA